TTCTAGTGAATCTTGTTGAAATAATTCGATCTAATTCTCTGTTTCTTTGTGATTTTATTATCGTCATTAAGGTTTTAGAGATGCTTTATATTTTCATCCCATTGTTTAGTTTACTTTTCCTGTAAGGTTCCTGTAAGGTTTGTCGAATTATTATCCTTCAATTTGATTCTTTATGTTTCTTTTCTTTTATAGTTTCATTACGCCTTGTGCTCTTATAAATGACTGTAGCCTTACTATAATTTTACTATAACTATGACTTCAACTTCACTGTTCAATTCTCTTCTGTTACGTTTCTACCTATTCTCTTTTATTACGTTTCTATCGCGTTTATTGCGCTTTTATAACTTCAATGTTACTGTAACTGTAACATTAACTTCACTGCAACTGTTTTTCATTTTCTGTCCTGCTCCATTGAATTTTCGACTCTGTCCCTCCTCCCGTCGTAGCGTGTTAAAGCGGGAGGACAGGTACCGAGTATGACGATAAATGTTTGACGGCGGCGCGCGATGAAAAAAATATGATCGAAGGAGACGCGGTTGGCGGGGCGGATTTCTGGCCCTTTTTGCAATTAACTGGTGAAATGCGTATCGGGCACTTCGGCGCGCGCACTCGAATATAACGACCGGTATACAGTTTGGCAGCAACAGACGTAATTACTCGACCCTTTGAGGTTTCGGACCCCTCGCGAGGAGGCCGATATTAGTAGGATCGTAAACTCGTATTGAAACCCCCCGCACACGCACGTACGCACCCTCGGCAGCCCGGCGCCACCCTACCGTTTTTCGCATCGGTTATGCGAAAACGGGGCCGTTACCGCGGCTGTGTTCGTGAAAAATTGCCGACGCGCCGGCGATTTCCAAAACGTGCGACACGCGATCTGCATCGGCAGATATCGCGCGATAATTGTAGGATCGTATCGTTAGTAGTAGTTAGTCCCACTCTCCTCCGCATCGTGTCAGATTACAGGAGCGAGCCTCGCGGATCATTCGCCGAGAGGTTTCCCACGTATCAAGTATTCCGAGCGCGTTACTCACTCGGGTATATTCCGAGTACTGAGAGACGAAAATGTTTGGGCCGGCTAAAATTATAGTTATTTGTCGTTGTGGTGACCCCAATCGGCCGATGTACGTAGACTTCGCGGCGACTTTAAGTATACTCACTCGTGAAATTCAGCAACACTGAGCTCCTTACGACAGATCAGACTGCCCTCATACTTATCGAATTATAATTTATAGCAATTATTTCTCTGTGTGCGATTACACTTACAGATATCAGACATTTTCTTTCTCGATGCAGAAAGTAAGACGAGAGAGAAAGAGAGAGAGAGAGAGACAGAAAGCAAGGAGGGAGGAAAGAGGAGGGAGATAGCAATTGAGAAAGTTGACGTGTAGATCGTTAAAAATCCAAAGGCGCGTTTCGATCTCGAGGCGCTGGCCCTGTTTTCTCACTGGCGCTTGATGGATATCGCGCGAAATTACGATCAAAAAGAGAAGAATCGTTAGAAAAGTCGTGAATCGATTGGACGTGTACGACAGCGGTTGCCGTTAGTCCTGCGACGACCGAGCGCCGAGTTGCAGGAAGTCGGGGAACCTGTTGCGGGCCGCACACTTAGCACCTCTCTATTTTCGCCGGAGTTCTCGAGTTACCGCATGCCGATCGTAATCGATCGCGCGCGCGCGCGCGATCTCCTCCTCCTTCTCCACTTCCTCGACTCGCGGTTGATCGTTTGGCCGATTTGCAAAACAAACGAGCTCGCGTTATAAACGACCGTCGTCTTCGATTAGTCACAACAGAGCTCCCAGAAGTATGCCGCCTATTTTATCGCGACCAGTCGAGGCGTCCGATCAACCTCGCGGCATTCGACGCTGATTACGCGGCGCGTTTAACGTTCGAACTCAACTCGACGTGGAGATCCAGCAGATGCATGCTTTAAACGAGACCCGAATGCACGCGAGACATATAAAGATTTAATGGCAATTTAAAAAAATTTGATGTTATTCCATCGCGTTCACACAGAGAAAAATGTTCTACTGCCGAGAAAAGCGATTATTCCACTTAATTTCCTTCTTTGAAGTAATGATTAAAATATCTTGATAAAATATCTTGATAAAAAATTTTAATATCTTGAAATATATTTATCCCAAATTTGAGGAAAGTTCATTATCACGCACTCGTGAGAAGCAATTATTTTCTTCATAAGAATATCATGAAACTACCTGTATATCAGAGGAAAGTTAGCTCGACTCTGTATAGTTGAGCAACTTCCGAATTTCTGTTTTAATCCAATATTCTTGATTGAAACGCTAAACTTGCTAGAATTCAGAATACATCCTGAGAGGATAAATTGATTTGCGGGCCACAAAGTTCATGTCTATGAAATAAAACTTATTTCTCTCCGCGAATAAGATTTATATCCCGCAAATAAATTTTCAAGCATTTCTCTCCCCGTGTATCGGGTCGTGTGTTGGAGGATTGCTCGAGGATCCAGCGTAAGTAGATCGAAGTATGCTCGAGTGCCGCGACGTGCACGGACGCGCATTGCAACGGCTCCGACGGAGCCGGGGATGGGAATGCCAAGCGAAGAAAAGCGCGATATCTCATGGTAACGCGGATGGTAATTGGAACACGTTAAAACGACAGGAGACGGTGCGCGCACGCACGAACGGACGCGGGAACGACGGCCAAGCGAGATATGTCCTACAGGACCCGCTGAATCGTCCACATCTGCTATACGATATTTCCTCGTTAGGCGTTCCCCCCTGATGACGTGTACAAAGCAGCGGATAGCCGTCGGTCGGTCGGTCGGTCGGTCGGCCGGCCAGCCGGCCGACCGGCACGGCGCTCTTCGGGACGTCATAAGCACGAGGGTGCGCCGTAATTATCGCTAATTAACATTTATGGAGACACGTACAGGCTTTTTAGTGTCGTTCGCCGGAGAGACGGGCCAGCCATCGTCGTCGCGTCGTGTTATCGCGAACCTATCATCGCGAAACCCAGCCGCCGCTGCCGCCCTTCCTCCCCCTTTCCACCCGTTAACGATAAAAAATGATTATTATTAATAACGCAGATTCCGCAGCGAGCATATTTCTCCTTTTTCTTGTTTATTTGCTGGACTCGCAGCGACGTATTTCTCTTTGCTAGCGCGTTTTCCCGTTTCATCCTCGATTTTCCCCTCTGATAGAGGGATAAGTAAATGAAGTCGAACGACACCGTCGTGATAACGACGAGCAACATCGAGACTAACCGTAGCTTTAGCAGAACACGCCTCCCCGAAGTCTGGTCTCAAAGCGGAGGAATATCACGTAAAAAAGTGTGTAGCTAGTCGTAAATACGCCGAGCTGTGTAATCATTTGCCATCGACTCGTGGAGCGCTTCTTGCGCTACCCGTCGAGCAAATTCCGCGTCGGTCGTGGATGCGCCACCAGGTAAAATTATTAGCCGAAAGGTAAACGCTATAAAACATCCGGCAGACTACTAGAGAGGAGGAAAGGGAGAAGGAGGAGGAAGTGATGGTGGTGGCAGTAGTAGTAGTAGTAGTGGAGAAGGCAGCCCTTCGATAGCCACAAAAACCGCGACGCCGATAACAAGCATAAGCGTCGACAAGTATACGCCTCAGGGCGGCGATCTTAATTACCGGCCTCTTCCTTTATCACGATCGTCCGTTATCCTCGCAAACTACCGGGAACAACTGGCAAACTGGCGCGAGGGCCCGTCCTACTCTTCGTCATCGTCGCCATCATCGTCGCCGTGTAACGATTCGCCGGCGGTTCGTTCATCTACTAAACAAGCCCGGCGCCTCCGCTGTATAATTCTCTTCTCGAAAACAACCTTTGATCTCTCTCTCTTTCTCTTCTTTCTCGCACGCCCTCTCGCTCTTTCCATCGCGCTCGAAACGCAGATGATCCTCTCGATCGAGCTGTGTACTCGACGGACGAAAAACAATACTCGGGGGCTTGTTCGCGCGTCTATCCAGCCCTCCTCAGCGCAAGATCAAAGTTCACGCGTTGCCATCGGCTCTCTCGTTTCACTCATGTTTTTTTTTTTACCGAGAGAGACGACGTAGATAGGGACGCAGAGCCGAGGGAGAGAGGGAAGGAGGGGGACATGCAGAAGAGGGCCGAAAAGCCTTCCCTCCCGACGCGCTCTTTTTGAGTCCTGGCCAGCGAATTTCCATAGATCTACCTCGCGTTCGCCCTCTCGGCCGCAGCTTTAGCGCGCCTGTTTCTCGTTCGCGTGATGGAGAAACCCCGAATCGCCGAAGAAAGGTTTAAGTTGATACGCGGCCGGAGAGACTGACGGCCAAGACCCTCGCCGGCTAAGGGGAGAGACATCGATCTCGTCTGACACGTCGCGTGTCGAAACCGTGATATTCTTCTCTCTCTTTCTCTTCCTCCTTCCGTCTCTCTTGCTCTCTCGCGGTCGTTGGAGCCGTCGAGATGATTGAGTGTCCCGCCCAGCTGATTGAATTGAAAGGCGGTAGTCGAGAACAATCGTTATTTTTGCGATTACTCAAGTGCCCACGATGATGCACATCAGTCACGCGTGCACCTCATCTCCGACCATCTCCCACCGACACGTCGCGTTCGCGCCTCGCCGAAAAGTCACTTGCTTTTACGCTTACGTAATCGTCGCGGCGACGATGACGACGCAGTGGCGATCGCGTTGGTCGCGCCTTGTTCTCTCTGTCTCTCTCTCTCTCTCTCTCTCTCTCTCTCTCTCTCTCTCTTTTCCTCTCTTGCTACTTCCCCCGTACTGACAGCCGATGACGAGCGGCCGATACGATGTGCCTCCGACATCGCGACTCCCTTTGATCTTCGATCGAGGTTCGCAAAAATTTCGCTCGTCCAAACGCCGGCGGTATTAGCGGGATACCTTATAAAGGGTTGAAGGCACAGACGCGCGAGCAGACAGGAAGCATCGATCCCGTCTGCCGGGTGCATCGTACACCAGGAATCCCGATGCCTCGACTTTCCCGTCCCCGCGCTGCCCCCGCCCCTCACCTCTTGGCCGCTGCTTAGGCGCCTCCACTCTGTCCTCTCCTCTCCTCTTCTCTCTTCGCACCGTTCTCGGCGTCTCGTCGTTCGCGTTGCAAACCGAGGGAGGTGGATTTACGTTCCCGACACCCTCTGCCAGAATTCATTAGCCTGCCTCCGCATCCCCTCCTCCTATCCTCTACTCCTCATCGTGGCGTGCCTCTAAAAAAGACGCCAAAGAGATTTTAATTGGCTACTTGGGCGACTAGCACAACGGCGGCCGTCGCGACGCCGCCGTCGAAAGCGCAACGGCGCCACGCGGAAAATCGTTCGGCAAGCCGACGCGGTAATTTCGCGGTAATTCTGCGTCCGCGTGTCATTAGTCGTTTCCTTCAGTTCCGCGCCTGATCTCGAGACAATGGCTCCGCCTGCAAAGGTCTCTCGACCCTTGGAAACGCGGTTTCACGCGCGTGAGAGAAAAATTAAAAAGAAAGAATATTTGCTCGCGATGAGCACTAATAATATATTTACTTAAATGTCCAAGTTCTCTCACTTATAACTAGAATAAACTATTTTCGGGAAAAGCTAGAGTTTGAAGCAATTGTACGCGGAGAGAAAGGTTTCATTAGATTATTACAACCAGATATCTGGTGAAACGTCTATTTTGACAAAAGAAGTCAGTGAATGAGAGAGAAGCTACAGCGTGCTTCGTTTTAGCGTCAGAGCTTCTCTCTCACTTCCACTCACGTCATCCCTAAAAATGGTGGACAGGATGCAGACCAGTCAGAAATGATCATGCTTTGTCCTAACTTCGACTAGAGGAACTTTAATCACGCGTAGCTTAGAGCCACGCTGAGGGCTCCCCGCTTCCGGAAATCTGCTTCTCGAGCTCGTCGCTTTTAACTCACTCTCGCGATTACCGCCCGGTCGAAAATTAAATTCCCGGCTTCCGTCCGTCCTCCCTGCGCAAAAGTGACGTCTCCCTGCGCGAAATGCATTACTCCGCAACGAGCGGCGCTCGCCCTACGCCCTATGTGTGTACATCTCGCCGAACATCGAGTTATCAGCTCGAGAGAAGAGAGAGAGAGAGAGAGAGAGAGAGAGAAGGAGAGGGAGAGAGAGAAGAGAGAGAGAGAGAGAGAGGATAGGGCTGCCGTCGTGGGTGGAAAGTGCAGTCGCAGCGCCGACGCATCGGCCGGCACGTCGTCGGCGGGCATTTCGCGTCGCACGAAAAGCGAGAGAGACGAGCGTTATCGGGCCTCGTCGCCGCCGTCGTTGTCGACGACGACGAGATGCCCTCATCCCTCGCGCCACCACCTCTCGTCCTTGTTCTCGCTACCCTCGCCCACGCTGCTAGCGTCTCTCGGACGGACTTTCGACCGCTGCCACCCCCGCCGTCTTCCGTCGAGGCCCAGTCACGCGCGACCGCCAAGATAAGGCTCGCCATCATCGCCGACGACAAGGTCGAACAATGCCGCGCGCTCGCGACATGAGCGGAGGTGGAGGAGATTCCAACCCGGGATAAAGACCGCCACGTGATGCGTCGTGCTAATAGCGCCTTTCGGTCTCTTGCTCTTCTGCCCCCTTCTCTCTCTCTCTCTCTCTCTCTCTCTCTCTCTCTCTCTCTCTCTCTCTTGCGAAAGGAGCGGCGTGATTTCCATCCGGAAGACCCTCGCGGATCCCTGCGGCCGAGACGAAGAAACGGTTCGGTTCGTGGTATCCGTGCTATTGTTTGTCTTGTTTTCCCGCGGGAACTCGGCGGAATTAAAACGGCAAAGTTAGCGATGCGAAATAGCGAGTCTTGATGCGAATTTTACGTCTAAGGGTCAAATTCTCGAGAGTAAGTTCCAAGAGAACGAATAATATAATGAGAGAAAAAAGATACCTAAAAAATAAAGAATATTGTTTGGAGTGAGTACTGATAACAGATTTACTGTTAAATATAGATTCTTTTATTTAGATAGAATAAACTCTAAAAGACGGAATAAAATCTCTTTAAAATAAAATAGAATAGAATAAACAAAAAAAATTAAGGATTTCAAGAAAATGTATATTTTCTTATTCTATATTTGAACAATATTTTGTATTAGAGAGTACAAGTAAATATTATATGCGGTAACCAAATAAATGTTTTTTCTCAGAGCGTAGCATAGTAAAAAGTCTCGGATAATAAATAACGATATTAAAATGAAGTTCCAATATCTTTCCCGAGTTGTGACGTGAGATTCAAGGATCTCGAAATCCCAGGAACGTCCCGCGTGTAAGGCATTTAAAGTTACTCGTCTTCGCGAACAAAAGATCCGAAAATATGGGGTTGCAAAGCCTATCATTCCGTCCGAGGACTCGTAAGAATCTTGCAACCCTACGAAACTTATTGGATTTTCCGGATCCTCCGCGTGATCGGGTTCTCGAGTCCTGGCGCACGGGACTCCGGGAGATGATACACCTCCTTGCCTCGTGCGTGGACGTGCTTGAGGACGCGCGGAGGTTGCAGGGGAGGCG